GCATCCCTGTGTCTGCTGTCTGCTGTGGAAGGGCTTTGTGCTGGAGCGTGGGGAGCTGAGCCCGCAGGTGACCTCTGACTGGATCAGCCTTAAATGTCTGTCCCTCTTCCTGTGCTCAGGTGTTTGGTGACAGGCTGGAACATCGTGTAGGTAGGTGCTGCCAGAGGCTAAGAGTGCCTTCTGCTTTGGAAAACAGGGAGGGTGGAAAACTGGTGGACTTTGAATAGCCTCAGGAAGAGCAAGCAGGGATCCTCTCCACCTGGTCGGCGTACGCCGTAAGAACAGACCCTTTGGAAATTCGTCTGAACTGCTGATTTCTTGGGGTTTCTGATCGCCTCTGATCAAACAGCATCCCCTTGCCCATCCAAGGGCCACCACAGCCACACTGGGCCACCTCCCCAGAGAGCAGCTCCCTCACCTGCCCAGTGCCACTCGTCGTGGGGGCTCGCAGATCTGTGCTGTCGCTACCAAGGGATCCTTTCCAGTGGGCACTATTATTTTTCCCCCCTCCTCAGCTCTGCAGCATTGCACTACATAGGCATCGAGCCTCTCTCGTGCAGCCCAGCGCCTGCGCTTGGCTCGGGGACACAGGACAGTACCCTCTCAATCTGAGGGATCACCGTGGAGCACGCTGCGGACTGGCCAAGTAATTCCTGGCTAAACTCCTCCTGCCTTGTGCTGCCTCTGTCTGACTCTGCTCCCCTGCCGGTGCCGTGGGCTGGCGGAGCACTTGGGGCAGTGAGTGAGTTTGGGGTGTAGCATGCACGAGTGTGTGTTGGCACCAGCGCTCAGGGACACGGGTGGACAAGCGCCTGGACACCGCAGGGGCCATGGCTTCGTTCGGGAAGCTGACAGAGTACTTCAGCCTGAGGAAGTCGAGGCCGGAGCTGCGCTCCAGGCGGTGGGGCCGGCGGAGCGGGAGCTGTTGCTGTAGTGTCATGGAGTGCAGGTATGGGGTGGCAGTGGCACATCTGTCCTGGTGCCTCCGTGTGTGTGCCTGCAGGGGCTGCAGGGTGGGAGGTGCAATCCTGGGTCCTTTGCTTTCCATTTACCTTTCCTGGGGCTGGGAGCAAGCCAAGAGCTCTGGAAGCATCACCCCATTTCTGTCTGGGACTTGTGTGTGACTCGTTGCTGTGGGATATCTCCAGGAGGCTCTGTGACCTGGTGTCCATCTTCCTGCCCAGGGCACGTTCCAGGTGTCGGTGTCACATCTTGGATGTCTGCTGAGTGGCCACGTGCACCTGTACCTGCCTCTGTCTGTTGTTCTCTGTGTTGTGCTGTCTTACTGTCTCCTCATTAGAGGAACAAGGTTATCGTGTCAAAATCGCCCTTCCCTCCTCCTGCCCCACACAGAGTCCTTGCCTGCATGGGCAGCAAGAAGTGGCTTCTCAGGTGAAGTTAAACCTGTGTGTTTGAAATGCTGGTGGAGCCTCCTGGCACATATGAGGGGCAGGAGGGGTCTGGGTTGTGCTTAGGGTCAGGGCGCAGTGGTGAAAAGGGCTTCTCTGGGCATGGATTTTTGGAGTGTGGATTATGAGGGGAATACCCTGCAGATGGGGAGGGGTGGTATTGGGCTGACTGGAAACCCCTTGGGAGCATTGGAGTGCTCAGGATTGTGGTGGTGGGGTGCACACATGCTTGTTTTGCATGTAAACACCGTTACTGCAATTAAGAAAATTGCTCCTTGCAAGAAAATTGCTTCACTCTCCTTGGATGTTACAAGCAGCCTGTAGGACATGGCTAACACTCAGTGCTGCTCTGGGTTTTTCCCCTGCTCTGTGTGGGCTCAGCCTGAGCAGTGTGTGTCCCCACATCCTCCTGCTGACCTGCACACGCTGCCTCCCTGCTTCTGGAGGGGTGTGGATCTATTCAGGATACAGAGAGGGAAAAAATAGCGCTGAAATTATCTACTTGCCTTCTTCCCTGGTTGTTGAGCATCTCATACTCTGCAAAGGTTATTAAAGTGTCTGCAGATCACAAAGAAGTTGGAGCCCCTGATGCTGCTGAGACAGTGAGACATGCTGAGCCGTTGCTGTCTTCCCTTTTCCCTCGGTGGCTGAAGGAACTGGTTGCCTCTCCCTGCTCACTCCAGGCACGCTACGGTTTCTCCGGAAACGCAGAAACATTCGTGGCCGAGCCAGGAGCTTTGTTCTGCTCCTTTTTGGCATTGTGGACACAAACCCTGGCTTCTGCCCTCAGGTTTCTGCTGTGTTGGTGCAGAGCTGGGTGTAAGGAAGGTTGGTTTTCTAGGTGCTGCAGAGCATGGCAGGTCCCTGGGGTTTGCTGGTGTGCAGAAGAGCACGTGCCGTGTCTCTGGTTTGAGGGAGATACTCACAGGCTCCACAGCCTATCGATCCTCCATCCACAGGGTGCTGTGGTTTTATGGACCTTGGGTTTTGGGGCAAGTTGGGTGGTTTCCTATGTAATGGGAGATGTCATGATGCCTTCCTAGCTCTGGGGCATGAGCCACAAAAGTGGCATTGCTGGTGTGTAGCTCCTGTACCAAATTTTCTGGGGGGTGCTGGCTATGGATGTGGAGCTCTGAGCAGCCTGGTCTGTTGGAAGGTGTCCCTGCCCATGGGGGGGACTTTAAGGTCCCTTCCAACCCAAACCATTCTATGTTTGAGTGCTTCCTCTCACAAGAGTGTGTCTTGCCATGCATCAGGTTGTCAGAGCCACTGCCCCTCAGAGCTCAGCTCAGTGTGAGACTGGTTGGCAATGCTTCCCCCGAGCAGAAGCCTCCAAGTGCTCCAGTGTGGCCAAGCTTGAGCTGCAGGGAGCTGTGCTCTCCCTGCTCCTTAAGCACTTTGTCCACTGGGCCATGTAACTGCTCCAGGGCAGCTCCTCCAGGCTGGATCTGAGTGTGTGCACTGTGTTCCTGATGCCCCCAACCTCCCCAGTGATGGGGCTTGAGTGCACCTGGGGATACAGAGCCTGTTCCCTTGATTGCATACAGTTGATTATGGAAGTAAAACTAAGTGTTGATTGGAGCGTGGGATGCTTGGAAATCAGCATCACTTTTCACCCCAGTTACTTGAGATTCTGCCCGTTTTCTTTCCTCCCCAATGTCTGTACAATGAGAAGCCCCAGGAAATCTTCACGGCTGTGATCCAAAAGCCAACGCAAGGAAGTTGCTTCCATGTCTGACCCTGTCCTTGCTCTAGATGGTGCATTTTCCAGCTCTGTTGAGCAACCTTCTGCTTTTATTTCATTTCTTCACTCTAATGCGGGCAAATTAAGCAAGGAAATAAGATGCTCAGCCCCCACATTTCATGTGCATGGAGGTACTGAGAAATCCTGCACCCCAGACTCAGCAGGGTGATGTCTTACAGCTCCCACGACAGCCCTGCCCTGGCCTTGCTCAGGGCAGCTGGAATCCCATGACACTTCCCAGAGCTGTGTAGTCCCCTGGGACCACAGGGAACAGATGTAGGCAGATGCTCAGTCAAGAGGATGCACCGACTGGAGTCATTATGTTCTAAATATAGTGGTCCCACGCATTCTCACAGGACTTAACAGATATTAACAGGTGTGTAGTTATGGTTTTAAGTAACATTCCTGCATTTTTAAACTACACCTCCAGATAAAGCAGTGCTTGCCAGGGAGGAGTAAGTCTGCTGGGTTTGAGGATTTGTGGGCTCAGACTTGTGTGTAGAGAAGGAGCCCAGCAAGAGCATCATCTCATTTGGGTGCTGTTGGGCAAACATGCTGCTTGCAGGAGCTCCTCAGCCTCTGCTGTGCCCTCCTACTCTGCCACCACCTGTGGCACAAAGCCCTGTTGTGATTTGCACCTCTGTTGTGCCAGCTGGAGGCTTCTCCAGCCTGAGCTGTGCCAGCTGTGTGCAGCAGGAGGATGGCTGCTCTGCTCTGCTGCTCTGGTACAGCTGCCTCCTGTTATTAAATCAACTGGACAGTCAGATCCTCTGGGATTGGGAGGCCCCAGGTGTGACAAGGTGGGGATATGAGAGTGTCCCCAGCATGCAGCTTACGCTGGGGCAGGGACTGGCAGTGTGTGAGTAAACAGCCAAGCCCAGGAGAACAAGTGATTGATTTGCAGCAACTTTTTTCTGTCTAGTAGGAGCAGTGATGGATGAACCAAACTCTCAAGCTGACTGGCTCCAGAGCTGGACCACTTTGTGTGGGATGAAGGCCTGGAGCATTGCAGGAGTATGAGGGTTGCTCCACAGCATTGGGTGCAGGTGCCTGTAGGTGAACCACAGGAGGGACTGGAGGGCTTGCTGAGGTTTGGAGGGGTTGTTCTTTGTGTTACCTCCTGGTGCCAGCCTCGAGGTGCTTGTGCTTAGCTGTCTGTGTGGTGGCAGGAAGGGTGGAGAGGATCCGCTCTGGCATGGCAGAGAAATGAGAGGAAAAGGCAGGTTATATTAAATACCTCTTCTGTTAGTGAGCTGTTTATAAACTGAAAGGTCTGAGCAACTGGTTGTGGGTTCATGCAGCTTTTGAAAGTGGATCAGAACATGGTTGAAGGCGGTTGTGTGGTAACTAGGCTGAGAAAATGGCCAGGGAGGCTCCAGGGTGAGCTGAAATTCTCAGGAGCAGGCTGGCACCTTCCCAGATTGCTGTTTTCAGCCTGGGCTGCTTAGCAGCGAGCTAGCCTGGCAGAGCCCTGGGCTGGGATCCTGGGTGCCTCCAGTGATTCTGGGAGGATGGGGATCCAGTGTCATCTGGCAGTTATCATGCTTTGGAGAATTTCTCAAGGAGACTGTTGGAGTTGGTCCAGGGATAACCTGTGGTGAAACCCAGGGAAGCCAAGCTCAGGATACAGGGAGGAGAGGGGGTTGGCTCATGCTGAATGAGGAGCAAGCAGGCAGGGTGTTAGCTTTGGGATTCTCCTAGTTTTTTTTCCCAATAACTGAGCTGGAAGTTGGTGTTAATTAGCAATCAAGTAAATTACGTAAGAATTAAATTTCATAAAAATTCCAACTTGCCTGGCCCATGTCATTAGATAATCTCCAACTGAAGGAATGGTGCTCCAGGTGAGGCATCATCTTTGCACTCTCAGCAGGGGCAGAGGTGGGTCCAGGTGTCTCTGTTGCTTGGCAGGGTCAGAGCCTGTCCCAGTCCTCATGGGAAGCTGGACCAAGGAGTTGCACTTGGAACTTGTTACCTCCCCTCCTTTGGGAGTGTTTTCTACTCTGATATCTTGATCCATGTTCTTTGTTGTGTAGTTTGATGGGCTTTGAGGTGGGGAGGGGTAGTGGGAAATGTTTCCTGGCAGGATTTTGCTTCGTTGTTTTTGGGTGCTTAAAAATATCTCTTCAGCTCTGGCAGCATGTTTGTGTTCAAGCACACGATTGTGATGGAAGAGAGAGGAACTGGCAAGTTTGGGAGCTGGAAAACAGCACTGAAAGAACAATTCCTGTGTTAGCTGCACACAACATGAGGCAGGTAGAGATGGTAGGTAGAGATGCCCAAAGGGGCATCTCTGAGGGGCTCTCTTGCATGGCTGAGAGTTTGGCTGACTTTTCCCACTTTGTTTTTGACACATTTTGAGCAAAACCTTTCTGCTTCCAAATGACATCTCCGTATGGAAAGATACTTGCCTTTTAAGGGAGAAAACAACTAAGACTCTTGCAAGTGGTTTAGGTTAAGTGAGAAGTTTTCAGCTGAAAATTAGTCAATAAGGTGTTTGTGCCACTTGTGTTCCAAACTTGCCAGTGCTGACATCTCCCTTGCCTGCTGAGAGGCCAGCAGGAAAATGTGTGTGGGTGCATAGATTGGCATTTTTGCTGCAACAGATCATTGTAACCTATTAAAAAAAAATCAATGTCCATCACTACTGCATGGAAGAGGTCTGTGCTAGTGCTGGAAATAGAGTCCTAAATCCAGTGTTAGTGACTCAGCCCATGGCCTGTTTCACGGAGGTGCTGAGCATCCTTTAATCCTGTTAACTGGAACAGGCACTGGGCACTCAGCACCTTTACAGTGTGG